ATCATTGATCATCAGAGAAATGCAAATTAAAACCACAATGAGATATCTCCTTATACCTGTCAGATGGCTATCATCAATAAATCAACAAACTGTCCTAACCGGTTTGGCTCAGTGGATAGAGCGTTGGCCTGAGGACTGAAGGGTCCCAGGTTCGATTCCGGTCAAGGGCATGTACCTGGGTTGTGGGCACATCCCCAGTGGGAGATGTGCAGGAGGCAGCTGATCGATGTTTCTCTCATCGATGTTTCTAACTCTCTATCCCTCTCCCTTCCTCTCTGTAAAAAATCAATAAAATATATTTTTTAAAAAAATAAATAAATAAATCAACAAACAGTAAGTGTTGGTGAGGAGGTGGAGAAAAGGGAGCCCTCCTGCCCTGTTGGTGGGAGTGCAGATTGGTGCAGCCGCTATGGAAAACAGTATGGAGGGTCCTCAGAAAATAAAAAATGGAACTGCCTTCCCTGGCTGGTTGGCTCAGTTGGTTGGGCGTTGTCCTGTGCACCAAAAGATTGCTGGATTCAAGTCAGGGCTTGATCCCTGGTAGGGAGCAGGAGGCAGCCCACTGATGTTTTGCTCTCACAATGATGTTTCTCTCTCTCTCTCTTCCTTCTTCTCTCTCTTTAAAAAAAATCAATAAAAACAATAAATAAATAAATAAATAAATAAATAAATAAATAGGCTTATTTTTGCCTTAAGCAAAATGCCCCCTTGGAAATAACCCCTTTCAGACCCTTCCTCCTTAATCGGGCCACATAACCTCAATTATCCTGTAATCCAATCCCCAATCTCCCCTTGCCTTCCCCCACTTTCAGTAATCTTCCTTAGGATCCCTCCTTAATCTTTTTTAATATATTTTTATTGATTTCAGAGGGGAAAGGGGAGGGAGAGATAGAAACATCAGTGATGAGTCATTGATCAGCTGCCTCCTGCACACCCCACACTGGAAATCGAGCCCGCAACCCAGGCATATGTCCTTGACCGGAATCGAATGAACAGTGACCTCCCGGTTCATAGGTCGAAGCTCAACCACTGAACCACCCCTGCCAGGCCCTCCTTAATCTTAAATGCATAAAAGAAACTGCAAACTGCTATTCTCTGGAACATATGAGATTTTGCTACCCAACTGACATACATCATCTATTTGGCTCAAATAAAATCTTTTTTTAAAATATATTTTTACTGATTTCAGAGAGGAAGGGAGAGGGAGAGGCAGAAACTTCAATGATGAGAATCATTGATTGGCTGCCTCCTGCACGCCCCCTGCTGGGGATCGAGCCTGCAACCTGGGCATGTGCCCTTGGCCGGAATCAAACCCGGGACCCTTCAGTCCACAGGCCCAGGCTATATCCACTGAGCCAAACCAGCTGGGGCTCAAATAAACTCATAAAAAATTCTCTACAGGTTTGGGTATTTCTTATATCAACAAACTGAATACTGATCTAACCAAAATTGGACATAAGAACAATGGCAAACTGGAGAGTTGCTCAGGACCTGAGGTGGAGGGGTGTCTGCGCTGGGAGTGGGAGGAATGAGACTGGGGATGATTGACAGGGATGATGGGAACTGCTTGGTTTCAAAACAAGCCTTTTTGATTAAAATGAAAACTAGTCTTCCAATGATCACTCTGGCCATTACTGTAAGACCAAAGCTGGTGGACAAGACTGGAATCCGGGAAACCAGTGGGGAAGCTATGACGAGCCCTAATGAAGGATCCCCGTAGCTCAGTAGCAGTGAGATTGGCAAGGGCGTGGTCAGAAACGCGTTCTCCACGTAGACACAACAGAACTTACTGACAGGTTGGACCAAAAGGGAGGAACAAGGATGACTCCACTCCTCGGGGGTTTTGTCTGCTTTCTACCAAAGCGATTGTATGGATACTTCTAATGAGATGGGGAAGTCGGGGAAGGCGCAGGATGGCGGACGAGGTAAGTTTGTTTGGGTGACGATTTATTTTGGCCCCGCTCAGTTGGAGGTCCCTACACAAAACAATACACAAAATGAGTTCTAAGGCCCTGGCCGGTGTGCAGAGTGGTTAGTGTTGGCCGCACACGGACGCTTCGCGGGTTCCATTCCCGGTCAAGGGCAGGATTCGCTCCCCGCCGCCGCCCCGTCGTCGGGGTTTGGGGAGGCAACCAATCGATATGTGTCTCTTGCTCTCTCTCTCTCTCTGAAAAACAATAGAAAAAATATTTTCAGGTGAAAATTAACAACAAAAAATTCTGAGAAGGGAGCAATGGGCATATAAGGTGCAAACAGGCAAAAAGCGTCATCATGTGAACTTTCCACCAACCAGACCCCTTCTGAGGGCAGAAAGCGGACAGATCTATCTTGGACGCGATGCTAGCTGGCCATAACCTCGGGACGGAATAAAATACCTTCCAAAACTCAGACGGTCGGACCATTTCAGCACTGGCGTGACTAGGGGACGGCGGACCCCGCCAGCGCCCCCTGAGGCAGGGCCGTGTTCGCGCGACGGTTCCCGCGCTCCCACAGGGGCTGCGGCCGCAGTCAGGCCGCCGGCAGCGACGGCGCGAGATGTCCTCACGCACACGCCTCGGGCCACAGGGACGGAGCGGTCAGGGATGCTCGAGACCCGCGCCACGGGCCACCGGGCCCACGAACGCCGAGCCAAGCGCGCCTCACGTGGGTCGCGGGGCGGGGCAAGCCTCTTCAGGAGGAATCGCTTACCCGAAGGCACGTAGTCCTCGTCCTCCTCTGAGGAGGAGAAGTCTTCCGAGTCGAATTCCTCCATATCGCTGCCACGCGGGGCGGGCCAAGCCACAGGACCGCAGCGGCTGACCCCAACGCAAAGCTCTGGGGATAGACCAAAAAGTAGAGCGGGAGCAGCTGGCGGTTGGGGCGAGCCCCCGCTGCGTGTGCACATGCGCAGAGAGTGTACGTGATAGTAACGCGACACTTCCGGGCCAATCCTGTGGCAGTTATCCCAGCACGGGCTCCGTGACGAAGCGATGCGTACTGGGACTTGTAGTCTTTGGTGCTACATAGCACGTTAATTTAGTAAATGTACTTTACTCAAAATTACATATCTATGGGAATATAGTTGACCCTCACTATTTACAGGTTGGTATTTTCGTATTCGTTTACTTGCTAAAATCTATTGTAACCCCAAAATCAAAATTAGCGGTGCTTTCTGGGATTATTTGCAGACATGCACAGAGGGTGACAATTATGAGTCGATGCGTTTTACCAGCTAAGAATGAGCAAGGCAGACGATCAGATTTTCGGTTCAGCTCTCATACTGTGTATAAGTGTACTTTTTGCAGTCTATTTAGTGTCACATGGGTTTTGTTTGTTTTGCTCCCACCATCCCTGCTGTGCTGGCCAGCTGTGAGCCCCCCTTCTGACTGAGTGGGGATCCCCCTGTGGGAGCCCACTGACCACCAGGGGGCAGCTCCTGTATTGAGCATCTGCCCCCTGGTGGTCAATGTGCATCATAGCGACTGGTGGTTCTGGTCCTCCGCTGTAATGATCGCTTAGGCTTTTATTTGATGGATAGGAGTGTTAGATAAGCTTTGTTCAGGCATAAGTTGTAGCGCTGTTGGCTGAGAGTTCAATGTTAATGAATCAACAGTAAGATTCTAGTTAATGTTTTTATAAAACTTTAAATACTTAATCTTTACCGTTTTTCAGGATTTTATTTGCATTACTGTACAGTATACAGTATATGTTCAGAGTACTGTGTATGTTTACAGTATGTGAATTTTGCATTGTATATTATACTGTGTGTATTATATGTGTACTGTATGTGTGTGTGACTGAGGGAGAGTTAAACTGTATTGTAGTGCATTACACAAAAATTCTGTAATTGGAGTAATTGTTTCATTGTGAAGAAATACAGCAAATAGTCTTAGCCAGCGTCGGCCTGTGGACTGAAGAGTCCAGGGGTAGATTTCGGTCAAGGTCACATGCCTGGGTTGCGGGCTGGATCCCCAGTGGGGGCATGCAGGGGGCAGCCAATCAATAATTCTCTCTCATCATTGGTGTTTCTCTCTCTCCTTCCTCTCTGAAATCAATAAAAAAAATATTAAAACAAACAAAAAACACTCTCTCAAAAAACAATGAAATACAGCAAATAATTATTTGTAAGAAGAACATATTAAGGTGTCTTTGAATAGAAACACACATAAAACATTGTGTATTGATCAGTTGTCAAAAAAGTGATCAAAGACTCACAGGAACCCAACTCCACTTTTCCCCCAACAGTGGTTCAGTATTTACTAATGGAATGTGTGATGACTTTATAGACATAACTACCAAGAACAACATTCTACAATTCAGACATCATCCACATGAATCCTTCCTTCAAGTTAATCCATATGGAAGTGCAACCATATATAAGTTTAACATTTAATCAGACTAAATTTTTTGTTTGATTATAATCCAATATGCAAATGAGACATAGACAACTAATATCTTGTTTGTTCAGGTTTAGGTTTTGTTTTTTGTTTTTCACCTTAAAATTGCTCCTTTTTGATACTCTGTACTGTACTGGATCTGTTATCCAGTCCTAGAGTTACCTAAATCAAAGCATAGATGAAACACATCTGTGCTTTATGCCGGCAAACTTTTAAAAAGCCTAATTGAAACATAATTCACACACCATAAAATTTACCCATTTAAAATGCACGATTCATTAGTTTTGGCAGTCACAGGCTTATGCAATCATCACCACAATCAATTCTGGAACATTTGCATCACCCCAAAAGGAACCTCTTATCCATTAGTCACTCCTCATTTTCTCCCCAATCCTCAGCCTCAGGCTAATCCTTTTTTTCTCTATAGATTTGCCTATTCTGGATATAAATGGAATTATATATGCGGTCTTTTGTGACTTCTTCTTTCACTTAGCACATTTCAAAGTTCACTTGTCTTACATACATATGGAATTGCTTGATCATATAGTACTTGTGACTTACCTTTTGAGGAACTGCCAAACTGTTTCCCAAAGCAGCTGCACCATTTTATATTCTCACCAGCAGTGTATGAAGGTTCCAATTTCTCCACATCCTTGCCAACACTTGTTTTTATTATAACATCCTAGTGGGTGTGAAGTGGCATTTTCATTGTAGTTTTGACTTCTACTTCCCTGATGACTAATGATGTTAAGCATCTTTTCATGTCTTATTGCTATGTTCTTTGAAGAAGTGTCTATTCAGATCCTTTGCCTATTTTAAAATTGGGCTATTTTATTGTTGAGTTGTAAGGTTTTTTGTTTTTGTTTTTTTAAAAAATATATTTCTTTATTGATTTAAGAGAGGAAGGGAGAGGGAGGAAGAGATAGAAACATCAATGATGAGAGAGAATCATTGATTGGCTGCAATCCGGGCATGTGCCCTTGGCCAGAATCGAACCAGGTACCTTTCAGTCCACAGGCCGATGCTCTATCCACTGAGCCAAACCAGCTAGGGCGAGTTGTACGTTTTTATATATTCTAAATATCAGTCTCTTATAAAATATAGGACTTGAAAATATTTCCTCCTATTCTGTAGTGTCTTTTCACTTTCTTGATGGCATCCTTGGAAGCATAAAAGTTTTACATTTTGATGAAGTCCAATTTATCTAGTTTTGGCTTTTGTTCCTTGTGCTTTTGGGAGTGTATCTAAAAAGGCTTTGACTAACCCAAGAGCACAAAATTTACTTGTTTTCTTCTAAGAGTTTTATAGTTTTAATTCTTACATTTAGGTCTATTACCCACTTCAGCAGATCTTTCTTATGGGAGAATAATAGAAAAATAGATATGAAATTAGGATCCAGTATTTGGGAGTTTATCATTCTTACCATACTTTTCCTTGAACAGTTGAAGGGACCCTGCAGTGACAAACTGGGATGTAGTTGTTTGCCCCATCACTGGGATCTGAGTCTGGGGAAAAGGATACATTGGACTTCCCCAGCATCATCCCATTTCTCTCAGTCTCCTCTTTAGCTCATCAGTATTCTATACATTAGTTCAAATTCACAACCAAATTTTCCAACCACATTAAGGGTGACCAGGGGAGGAACTATTTTTTATTATGTCACATAGTTTAGTAAAGAGGTCAAATATTAGTTAGCAGGCCAAATCCAGCTCAAAGACATGTAATATTTGACCTGAAAAGATTTTACATGAATTTAAATTAAGTTGCCAGCACTTACAAACTGAGAGATTTCAAATAATTTAGATTTCCAACTTCCCTTGAAAAACTGGAGAGCGTGTCAACTCTGGGCTCATATTCTCACAAAGTAGAAATCGCCTGGAACTGAGCAATGGCTTTAGACAGGGCTCTCCAGTGGCCACAATACAAATCCCAACTCCCTACAAGATTCCTGGTTAATTACTACGTTATCTTGGCAATAATTTACAGGGTCCTCTCTGCCAAACTCAGCACCTTTAGCCCTTCACCCGCCATGGTCTCTTTGCACTATCCAATCTTCAGTTATCACCCTTTTGAAAAATTGAAAGTTTTTCCTCTGTTGGGTCCTGGATACATACAATCTTTTTTTGAAATATATTTTTATTTATTTCAGAGAGGAAGGGAGAGGGAGAAATGGAAACATCAATGATGAGAACCATTGATCGGCTACCTCCTGCACTACCCTTACTCGGGTACAAGACTGTAACCCCGGCATGTGCCCTGATCAGGAATTAAATCATGACCTCTTGATTCATGGGTCGATGCTCAACCATTGAGCCACTCCAGCTGGGCAGATCTTGAGGGCTTTTGACTGAATTCTGCATGTATCCTTCTGGGATGCTAAAAACATTCTGTATCGTGATCTAAGCCATAGTCACTTAAATGTATAAATATGTAAAAATTCATCAAGCTAAGCATTTGTGCACTTTACTGCACAAATGGATAGGCATTCTCTTGCCAGACATAGTATGTCTGCCTACAATGCCTGGAACTGTAGCGGTCATCTCGTGACCATGGGGTAAGATGCCCAAGCTGGACAACCCAATTTGCTAAACATGGCAGAGCAAAAAAAGATTTATGATGTCACAGAAAGTACTAAACTAACTTTGGAGTCTCTCTTCATGTAGACTTACTAGTGAAATAAAAATTTCCCCTCTATCAGCTTTCTGCCATTTCAGTGTATAATCATACAAAGGCTTGTTGATGGTAATATATAGCCCACAAAGTGGAGTTAATAAGACTCAAGTTCACATGTAAGTACAGTTTAATCACATCTTTGAACAAGAGTTTTACCGTAAATAAGAAGTTGAACATAAAAGAAATATAGCTAAACATGTTATGTACTGTTATAAAAACTAACAAGAACTGCCCTAGCTGGTTTGGCTCAGTGGATAGTGTGTCAGCCTGTGAACTGAAGGGTTCCAGGTTCGATTCCGGTCAAGGTTGTGGGCTTGATCCCATTGTGAGGCATGCAGGAGGCAGCCGATCAATAATTCTCTCTCATCAATGATGTTTCTATCTCTCTCTCCCTCTTCCTTCCTCTCTGAAATCAATAAAAATATATTTGAAAAAACAAGAACTTAAATTAGACAACTTTATTACAAAAGATTAAACTCATTGGCAACTGAAAAAGAAATAACAGTTCCAGTTCACAGAACTGAAAGTAATTCTTTATTGATAAACATTTATACCAGAATTAGAAATGTCAGTAGAAAAATACAATTTAAATAATTTTTCATCGTACAAAGATTTGATCATTTTGACTGTAGCAGTTAGTGAAATAATCTAATACAAAAAGTTACGCTGATTTTAGTCACAACCAGCCCAACAGAGTGCACAACAAGAAATGCAGGCACATAAGATGTTCCGCATATAGACAGCTAATGGCACCAGGGCTTCACATTCCAGGAAATGGTTTCTTAGGGAAG